TTGCTTAGGAACCTTTATTTGGAACAACAGTGTCCGAGCTGTCTCAAGTAGATGCCTATTCTTTCTCTTGGCAACTCCATTTTGAGAGGGTGTATCAACACATGGAGATTGATGGAGAATACCATGATATCTCATGTAAGACCTAAATAATTCTGACATATATTCTTTAGCATTATCACTCCTTAGAATACGCACTTTGGCATCAAATTGAGTTTTGACTTCAGCAGAAAAGGCAGAAAAGTGAGTAAACACTTCAGATCCGCTCTTCATAAAGTATATCTAAGTCATTCGAGAAAAATCATCTACAAAGGTGACAAAATATTTATGCCTAGTTTTGGAAACAACAGGACATGGTCCCCAAACATCAGAATGAACTAACTCAAAAGCTAACTCGATTCTCTTATTAACCCTTGGACCTAATGAGATGCGATGGTGTTTTGCAAATTGGCATGACTCACATTCCAATGAGGAAATATTCTGAAATTGAGGGCAAAGCTTTTTCAACAAAGGTAACGAAGGATGTCCCAGTTGACAATGTGCCTCAAATGGAGACACGACACTAGAGCAGGCAATAGATGGAGACTCCCACTCATCAAGGATATAAAGATCATCAGAAACATTTCTTTTACCAATAACCTGATTTGTTATTGTCACGCCCCGAGCCTACACCCTGGACGTGGCCGGCACTCGAAGACCATTGCTGGTCCCCAAGCGAACCCTCATCCTGGCTGACTCCAAGCGAAATACTAACTTAAGCATACAAGAGCTTAAAACTGAATAAGAGTTTATAAACTCAACTTTACAAATCTTTAACTCAAAAGAAAACTCTGTATAATAGAATATATATATACAACTCGCCATAAAAGGCAACTTTAGTCTTCAAAACATTTAACAAAATAAATGAAGAGACTTCTGAAACTCTATTGTCTATCTATGAAGCCTCTAACTGATAAAGATGGAAGCCGGGACAAGACCCACGACCTCTTAACAACTGATACAACTGAAAGGTAAATGAAATCCTCCGGAAGCAAAGAGGCTTGTCATAGCTAACTGGAACTCCTGGATGTATCAACGAATCTCCTGTTGATGATCCTGAATATCTGTGTCTGCATCATAAAAAGATGCAGGCCAAACGGCTCAGTACGTGGAATGTACGAGTATGTAAGCTGGAAAGCTAAACAACATAGGCTAGAAGAAAAACTGGAATAAACTGAACAACTTACCTCTTTTCAAACTTTCTCAACTCAAGGAATACTCAAAACTACTCAAACTTACTCAACTCAGAAGATAGATATTGGACTCAGAGACAGATACTCAATTCAAAGATATATACTCAACTCAAAGATAGATACTCAACTCAAGATAGATACTCAACTCAAGATATATACTTAACTCAAAGATACTTAACTCAAGGATACTCGACTCTTGAATAACTGAACTCAACCTGATTGACTTCTTTTAATAGAAGGCAATTTAAAACAAGTGCGATATAAAGAAAGACTGTTTAAAACATGTTATAAACTCTGTGTGTACACAAGGATACAATAAGCCTGAGATGTATATAGAAATACAATTGAACTGATGTATATAAAATACAATAATTTCTGTGTATAAAAATACAATAACTGCTGTGGGAGTTTCTCTAACCGACAACCATCACATAAGAGCTATAGTGATGATACAGCGATCGACCTCACGCTGCCAGAGCATCTTATACCCGGCCAAAGGTATAAGACCTGAACTGCCTAATGGATCCACTAGTCTAATCTGAAAAGGATTCATCTAAAAAGTATGATCCTTTTCTACCCATGGTGGCTAACATGGTTCTATGGGGGCTGTGGGTTCTTTGAACGCTCCCCCAATTCGGTGCTCGATACTACTCCCAAAATGTACTGGCTCTTATGTTTTTAAAACATATTTATTCCTGCTGATATGAGATAATTACTCAAAAACTAGCCCGAAGGCTCTTTGGAAATCTCAATTTCCAACCTTGTTTAGATGTAAAGACATTTCTTTAAAACTCCTTTGGGAATACATAGTTCCCTAATAACTTTGAGAAATGAACTCAACTTTAAACTCTTGACTCTTTACTCTTTACTTGACTTGAAACTCTTTACTTTACTTGAACTCTTGGCTTGATGTGAAACTCTTAACTTAACATGAAATTCTTAACTTTGACTTGACTTGAAACTCTTGACTCAGAACTCTTCATTCTTTACTTAACTTGAGCCTTAAAATGAAGTTAAAACGATCAATGAAGACTCTTGGAAAACCTTAAAGACTTGTTTTGACTTACCTACTTCTAAGCTTGACTTCACTTGACTTGGAAACTAACTTCACTTGATTTTGAAACTAACTTCACTTGACTTGGAAACTAACTTCACTTGAATTGGAATTATGAATTCAAGGGTAATGATTTGTGTTTGGAAAGACCCCATGATGATTAGGAATAATTTAGGACAGCTAGACTTAAGAAAAAAATTCGAAATTTAATTCTAAAAACAGAACAGATTCTGTTCACAGAGGTAAACACAGCTGCAACGCAGACTTGCTTCAGGCAAGCTGCCCAACTTTTCTCCTTCATGTTGCCAACTCTAAACCCTCTCAACCTCAAAGGTTCTTTTCCCAAACACTTGGGGTCATAAACCCCTCAACATACAGTGGATTCCACTCAAAAACGCAACCAGATCCTATCCCAAATCAGCAAGAACTTCAACAACACAACCAACAACTTCAACAACCAAAATACATCTTTTCTTGGAATTAAAAACGAGTTGGTGTGTGGGGGTATGAACCAACCAACACTAAGGATCATAAAATCCCTCAATATACAATAGATTTCAGCTTAAGAACACAACCAAATCATGTCCCACAACCAACAATAACTTCCACAACACAACTAACAACATCAACAACAACTAACAACTTCAACAACTTCAACAACAAATCCAATCTTTTCTCAAATCATAAAATGAGCTTGGTGTGTGGGGGAAAGGATCAACCCATACTAAAGAACTCACATACCTGATTAGGGATCACCCCCGACGAAAATCCACGACGATCCTTAGCTTCTTCTTCTCTTTCTCCTCTTCTTTTCCTCTTCTTTCTCTCTAAAACCCTCACTCTCACTCTTTTAAAAAGGGACAAAAATGATCCAAACATCAGTCTAACACCTTAATATAACCCAAAGAAATGATTAGGGAAAAGACCAAAATACCCTTAAAATTTTCGGACTAAACAAACTGCGACTGTGCGACTGTGCGACTGTGCGACTGTGCGACTGTGCGACTGTGCGACTGTGCCAACAGCCCAACTTCCAAAGGGCATAAGTCACTCATACGAACTCGGAATCAAGAAAACTCGGTGGCGTTGGAAAGATCATTCCAAGGGCTTTCCAGAAATAACTGGAAATTCACCTAAATCATTTTGAGCTAGGAGTTACAACTGCTCAAAGTTGACCAAAAACTCCTTTTTTTCCATAGCCAAATTTTCCAGATTCTTTCCAAAATGACTATTTCCAATTCAACTCTTCTTGGAACTCAATGTGCTATACCTAGGGACCTTAACTCAACACTCAAGAAATTTTATTCCTCGGTAAAATCTCACTCCACATGAAGGACGGCTCGAGTCTTAGTTCGAAAAAATTCTCTGGGGTGTTACAGTTATAAGATCACGAAACAAACAATAATTGGGAAAGAATGAGATATAAGAATTAAGTTCTCTCGTAACTTTACTAACAGAAATCAGATAGAATGCTAATTTTGGTAGACTTAATACAAATGACAGAGTAATAGATGAGGTTGGTTGAACAATACCAAATCCAACGCTATTACAAGTTGATCCATCAACTACAGTAACAGGAGAGGCTGCTTTGTGTTATCTAAAGCTAGAGAAAATATTAGGATTCCCTGTCATATGATTTGTAGCACCTGAATCGATTACCCATTTATTAGAAGAGCTGATAAGACATGTTTTATCTAACCAAACAAAGGAATTAACATAAGTGGATTCCTTCAAAGATTTCTGATATTGAGAAAATTTGGCAAACCCCTCAACCGAAACCAAAACCATTTTGTCGGATAATGAACGTGAAGCAACAACTTTTAAATGATCTGTCATTTTACCAACTATATTTGAAAGTGTTTCAAACAAACAAACAAACAACAGCCTAATAACACAATAAAAAAAGAAACTGACACTAGCCAAACTCGATGGCCCTCTAGAAATAATTTCCCAAATAAGATTCAAATAGCCTCCAAAACAATATCAACTCACAAGTTGGTCAAGCAACAATTCCACTGCTGCACTCATACACAATTTCCATAATCAAGTATAGTTAGCAACAAACAGAGAAGTCTCAAACCTGACCAAAGAGGGTCCATAGATTCTGTTTGGAGGGTTTTCTTCTCGGAAAATTGGTCCTATAATTAGGGAATCACCACCAATCAACCAGCAATAACAAGCCGATGCTGGAAAAGAAAGCTGAACCAAAGCTTGGTCCACTCACACGTGGCAAAAACTAAATTCAAGTTCACTAATTTCATTCACGGACGCTGACCGGATTCCGGCAAGCTCCGGTGAGTTTTCTGACTGACAAAGAACATATAATGCTCTGATACCATGTAAAATATAGAGACAATGGACCAATTTCCTTGTTCTATTATTTCAAGAATAAGAGCTATTTGTAGGTGTACATGTAAATCTAAGGAAATAAAATCAGAAAATATCCCTAAATATCTCTAAGATCCCTAAAGATCTCTACCTATAATTATGCTATGAGTAGATATGACTATGTACATTTTGTAACAACATTTTCGTCCGTACCAAAGACACCCTATGTCTGATCTGTAGCATGATAACCATATACTTATTTTCAAAATGAATTTGCAGGAGATATACCAAATGAAATCAACCTACCATCTATTCGGAAATTGAGTCTTCGAAGAAACGAGTTAGTTGGAACACTACCACCATCTCTTGGGAACTTAACAACTTTGGTAATGATAGACATTGGTGAAAATAAAATTCATGGTAACATTCCTCCACAACTGGGACATCTCTCTAGTCTTGAAGGACTATATCTTGGATCGAACACGCTATCAGGTGAAGTTCCTGTTATAATTTTCAACATTTCTTCACTAAAAGTAATAGCACTTGCAGCGAATACTCTGTCCGGTAAACTTCCTTCAAACTTAGGCTATAGTCTTCCAAATCTTGAGGGACTTTATCTTGGGATTAATAATTTTAGTGGTAAACTTCCTAGCTCTATTTCAAATGCCACTAAGCTCAAATTTCTTGATCTTGGAAGGAACATGTTTAGCGGAAACGTACCATTTGATCTAGGAATAAATCTCCAGCAGATTCAAAGCATCAACTTTCAGAGGAATATGCTTACAAATGATCCTTCTTCTACGGGCGAAATAAGTTTTCTAAGTTCCTTCTCACATTGCAAGTACTTGAAATTTTTAATGATTGGAGACAACCAATTTAATGGCATTCTTCCAAAATCATCCTTAACTAATATGTCGTTGTCTCTTGAGAGGTTCATCGCCTTTTACTGTGGAATCAGGGGGGAAATCCCAGTTGAAATTGGTAACTGGACTAACTTGTCGTGGTTAACACTGGGATCGAATGAGTTTATTGGTTCGATTCCTCAAGAATTAGGAAACTTGAAAAAGTTGCAAACTTTGAGATTGTATGAGAATTAATTAGATGGGATCATACCTGAAAGGTTATGCGAAATCAAAGAATTATACTATTTTGACTTGCGAAGAAATCAGATTACAGGGCAAGTATTAGGGTGTTTGGGAAATATTTCTTCGTTAAGATATATTTATTTTGATTCGAATAATTTAAGTTCAAGTATTCCTTTAAATTTTTGGAGTAATAAGGATATCTCAGTTGTAAGTTTGTCATTTAATCAGTTAAATGGTCCTTTGGCGCCGGAGATTGCAAACATGGGAGGTTTAAGTGAGTTATATCTATCAAGAAATGAGTTGTATGGTTCGATTCCAAGCACCATATTACAGCTTCAGAAATTGGTAATTCTTGCATTAGATATGAATAGGTTAGACGGTACTATACCTAATTCATTCGAAAAAATGGTCAGCTTGGAGTACTTGGATCTGTCACAAAACAATTTGACGGATCAAATTCCAGAGTCGTTAACAAAGCTTGAGCATCTCAACTATCTGAATGTCTCTTACAATGAGTTATCAGGTGAAATACCAGATGGAGGGCCTTTTAGTAATTTCACAGCTGAATCGTTCATTGGCAACGCAGAGTTATGTGGACCACCTAGATTCCAAGTCAAGGTGTGTGAAGTCCAGAACAATGTGACAAGAAGAAACAGGAAGAAAACAGTACTAAAATTTGTTCTTGGACCAGTTGCAGCTGGAGGTTTAGTCATAGGGGTTTTAGGCATGATATGGTTGTTAAATTATCGGAAACGAAACAACCAACTTATTCCTTTAACTGATTGGTATGATCAGTTATCACACAAGAGGTTTTCTTACTATGAACTTGTTCGAGGGACTAACAACTTTGACGAATCGAATTTGATTGGAAAGGGAAGCCTTGGTATGGTTTATAAGGGGACATTTACAAATGGGACTACAGCTGCTGTAAAGGTTTTCAATGCACAAGTGCACGATGCATTCAAGAGGTTTGATTTGGAGTGTAAGGTTTTGCGTAACATTCGACATAGGAATCTTGTTAAGGTGATAAGTAGTTGTGCAAATCTTGATTTCAAGGCATTGGTGTTAGAATACATGCCTAATGGAGATCTTGATTATTGGCTTTACTCACACAACAATTTCTTGGATTTAATCCAGAGGCTGAAAATTATGTTTGATGTGGCTTGTGCCGTAGAGTATCTACACCAAGGCCATTCACTCGTTGTGGTCCATTGCGACTTAAAACCAAGTAACATACTTTTGGATGGCGATATGGTTGCCAGGGTAAGTGATTTTGGTATATCCAAACTCTTGACGGCGTATGATCCAGTGGCATTGACAAAAACCTTAGGCACCATTGGCTACATGGCACCAGGTACTGATCAATTTTTTATTTACTAATTACTTTCTTTAACTTGTATTCTATATGAATATATGATGATGTATTTCATTTTGATGGCAGAGTACGGGTCAGAAGGGATAGTGTCAACAATGGGAGATGTTTACAGCTACGGCATTTTATTGATGGAAACCTTTACAAGAAAGAAGCCAGTAGATGACGAGTTTGTTGGAGACCTTACATTGAAGAGATGGGTCGCGGAGTCATATCCTCATAGGGTCATGGACATTGTGGATGCCAATTTATTTTCATCAGATGATAGTGAACATTTGATAGCTATTGAAAGTTGTTTGAGTTCGGTATTGGAAGTAGCTCTTGAATGTACTGTGGACTTGCCCCAAGACCGAATTACCATGAATAATGTCCGCGTAAGGCTCAACAAGATCCAAACTCAATTTTTGAGCCAGTAACATTCGAATTACCATAAAATTCGATTTGTGCTTATTCTACTTTATACATGTAATATTTCTTTATGTAGATATCATTTTTCTTCTTGTTCTTTTTTCTTCCTAAGAATCAATCAAGAAACTGTCTGAACTTGGTTACATTTAGGCTTAGTCTGATACGACATTCATACAAAAAAGGTGAACTTAGAACTTTAATAAGTAAGATCACTATATAACACGATAATTATATAATGAAAATAAACTTATATGACATGACAAATAAAATATTGTCATGTAGGACGTCAAGTATGACGAATGTGTCTAAAAACACTTTTTATTTTACCCAAACAATCCCAAAGTGCTTAACTTTTAAGCCCTTAAAATAAGTCAATCCAAACAGGTTCTTAGAATCAAAACAAAGAAGGAAAAAAGAGAAAAGAGACTCTTCAGTCAATTACTAATCATATATATATATATTATATATCATATTCATAATATACTAAAAGTGGGAAGCCACAAACTTAAAAATTGAAATACCATTTTACCCTTATTCTAATTTAAAATATTATAAAATATCTAAATAAGTTAAATTAATTAATAAAATATCTAATTAAATAATAATATTTTAATTACGTAAAGATTGAAATATTTAATTAAATAATGATATTAAAATCACATAAATGGCGACTGAATGAAAGTTTAGTAGTGTTTTTTTGTCTGTTTAATTTTTTAGAAGTTCAACAGTCTCATTTAATGCTCCATATTCAGTCTTCCCTCAATGTGCCCACATAATTTATTTACTACAATCTTAAACAAGCATCCTTATTAATCTTTTTCTTCAATTTTTGTTTTTTTTTCCTTTTTGATGTAAAAGTTCTGCCCTTTCTAATTTCCAAATAATATTATTTTTTACTATTCATGTTAAACGTAATACCTCTATAGCTAAAAGTTGTCTGTTCAATTCATATAACTGCATCTTTAAAGGTAATGTACGTTGTACTAACTTTTCCTTTTCCCAACCATTAATTTTTCCTCACAATTTATTATATTCTTAATTGCTCTCTATAGAGGTCCACAATAAGTTGTTTTCTTTTTATTGTTCTATTTGTCTTCTTCTCATAGACATTTTTTCCATGTATGATCACAACTATTATTTCACTGTTAATATGTCATTGCTTTTGTTTTGTTACTTTCGTTTCCTCTTGAATTTCATTGGATGTCACTTAATTTATCGACATGTTTAGTTTTTTATTTCTTTCCACCTTTAGCCTTTTGTTTGAGCAATTCTCTAATTAAGGCTTTCGGCTTGGAAAATGTTTGTTGCTGTGATACTTTCATACGTATATTTGTCAAAATATAATCCCTATCAATTATATAGATTTTGTTCGATTAGAAATTACATTTATCATTGGTTAACTCATTGTCTTTTTATGTGTAATTATTAATACTTTTACAGGTTTCTTGCTTATTACTTCCACATAATTGGCCTGGTAACACTTTCTCACTTTGTATTTACTTTTCAAAAACTAATTTGGTATTTATATTATTGTTGGATGAAGTATACCAACTGCTTGATTAGTACTTATCTCTCTATCTTCAGAAACTCAAAGTATTCAAAATAAATTTTTTTAACTTTGAGCAAATATATTTATAGATTATTATCAACTTACTAATTATTTCTAACGTTATCCACAGCCTAATCTTATCCCACAACTTTTAATTTTCTTCGGGCTCTCTGCTTCTTTTATTTTCAGTTAAATTTGTTCATATCCTTTATTTAGATGCAATAAAATTTTACAATACTCCCAAGTTTTAAATGTATCATAATAATATTCTTATGTCGATAGTTATTAAGGATCTCTATAACAAGTAGTTATTACTTTCTTCCTCAGGTGTACATCACGAAATTGACAATGATCCCATGCATCCAAATAAAGATATATGTTAATTGAATTTCTGTACAACTTTAACATATGACTGTAATATGGTGGAGGTTACAATTTTGTAAAGACAAGACACAAGCATTAAGGCATGAAGTATTTGTAATCATAAGTGAAGTTTCTGATATTCATATTTGAACTATGTATTGTTGAACCATCACATAAATTAAATATTTGATAAATTAAGAAAACCTCATAAGAAAACATCATATAATTTGTGGATTGTGTACAACTATCGACTATAGTATTTGTCACGCCCCGAGCATACACCCTAGGCGGGACCGGCACTCGAAGACCATTGTTGGCCCCAAGCGAACCCTTGGCCTGGCTTTCCTAACTTAGCGGAAACTTAACTCAACAGAATAACTCAATGCAATGAAAGGTCATAAAGCAACCTAACTGATAAAAAATCTGGCCAAACGGCAACTCAAGTCTCAAAATAGAATATTTATATATATACACAGATGAGAGACTCAATACTAACTGATTAACTATCTATGAAACCTCTATAACACTGAGATGGATGTTGGGACAGACCCCGCAACATCCTAATAAAACAAAACTAGGAACGCAAAATAACAGAGTCCTCCGAAAAGCAATGAGGCTCACCACTGACTCTGGAGTGCTCAGCTGGATCAACGACATGCTGGATGCTGATCCTGGGTACCTACGTCTGCATCATCATAAGATGCATGCCAATTGGCATCAGTACATTGAATGTACGAGTATGCGAGTTGGAAAGCTAAACCACAACTTAAGCTTGAAAGGAGTACAAGAGAACACTTACCTTGGCTCTGTTCGACTCATGAATACTGAACTCAATATAAAGCAATAAGACACAAGCAATACATAAAGCTTGTAAAATATTGTAAACAACTTAGTTCGTTAAAGATAAAGCAATAACAAACTCAACTTTACTTATATAAAAGTAATATAACTTTAGTGGGAGATTCTTTAACCGACAACCACCACTATGAGCCCTAGTGATGATACAACGTTTTACCTCACGTTGCCTAAGGACTATCCTATGCCTTGCCGTGATATAGGACCTTACTTTAACTTAGTGGATCCACTAGCTTAACTTACGTGATCATCTAAAAAGAATGACCCGTCAAGTCCCATGTTGGCTACATGGTTCTTATGGAGAGTTGAGTTAATATGAACTCGCGTCCCCAATTCGGTGCTCAATACTACTCCCAAAAATACTTTGGCTCATAAGTGTTTTTAAACACATCTTTCTTTAATTTGAGATAATTTCTCAAAGCTTAGCTTAAATCTCTTTTTGGAATCGATGTTCCCTTTCTTGCTCAAATGTGAAAACATTTAAAAACTTCTTTGGGAATACTTAGTTCCCTAATGACTTTTGAGAAAAAGAACTTGACTCTATGTTCTTGTCTTAAGTTGAAACTCTACACTCTTTACTCAACTTGAAACTAGAGCCTTAAAATGAAGTTAAAACGTTCAATAAAGACTCTTTGATAAACTTTAAAGACTTGCTTGGACTTGCTTCTTAACTTCTAAACTTGAGTCTAACTTCACTTGACTTTGATCCGAACCTTCCTCGAATTGGATTATGAATTCAAGGGTAATGATCTCATGTTTATGGATGAGTTCTTGATGTTTAGATGTACCTTAGAGTGTTGAAAACGACTATAAAACATGGTACATTACCAAGGAACATGCATGAAAAAGTGGGGAATGAATAGGGAGAACTGGCGTCCCTGCCGCTCTGAGAGGCGCGGGGCGCCAGCCCTCAAACTTCAGAGGGCCGGCTGGGGCGCGCTAGCTGGCGCGTCGCCCCAAGGGGGAAACTTCAGAACCCCTTTTGGGGCGCGCTGGCAGACGCGACGCCCCACCCCTGTCCCCAGAAAACTCGACTTTTCTCCTTCATTTTTCCAACTCTAAACCACCTTAACTTCAAAGGTTCTAGCCCCAAACACTTAGAATCATAAAACCCCTCAACATACAATAGATTCAACTCAAAATCACAACCGGAAACATGTCCCAAATCAACAAGAAATTTCAACACAACCGCAAGATTTCAACAACCACAACCAATCTTTTCTTTGAAATTAAAACGAGTTTGGTGGGTGGGGGAATGAACCAACCCAACACTATGATCTCACATACCTTAATAGGGATCACCCCCGAAGAAAACCATGATGAACTTGACGAGCTTCGCTAAATCTCCTCTTTCTCCTCTTCTTTCTCTCTTATCTCCCAAGCCCTAACTCTCACTTTTAAAAGGGAAAACTGATGTAAAATTAGTTTAGACCCTTGATATACAACCAAAAGAAAAGGTGGGGGAAAAGACCAAACTACCCTTAAAATTTCGGATGAACTTCCCTTACCAATAGCCTAACTTCAAAAGGGCATAACTCACTCATACGAACTCGGAATCGAGTAAACTCGACGGCGTTGGAAATATCCTTCCAAGAGCTTTCCAAACATAACTGGAAATACACGTAATTCATCCTGAGCTAGGAGTTATGACTGTTCAAAGTTGACAAAATAACTCACTTTTTCCCATACTTGACCAAATTTCCAGATTTTTAAATTCTTTCCAAAAATGACTATTTCCAATTCTAAGCCTCTTCATAGTTATTTCAAATTGCCGTATGTTACAATATCTCCCCCTTGGGAACATTCGTCCTCGAATGAGATTACTCTTACTAGGCTAAGGGTGTAACATCAAACTCAAACACCCAACAAGCAATCATGCAAACAACAATAACAACATGATTACTACAATTTAAAGAGCACTAAGAAAGAGAATAATACCTTAATTTGCAGTTTCCCCAAATTCAAAGAGATGTGGATATCTCTTATTCATGTCCTCTTCGGCTTCCTAAGTACCTTCCTCAACAAATTGGTTCCTCTAAAGGACCTTGACTGATGCTACTTCTTTCGTTCTCAACCTACGAACTTGGCAATCTAAAATCTGAAAAGGAATCTCTTCATAAGATAAGTTATCCTTGATCCTAATACTTTCAGTCAGTAGGATCAATGAAGGATCGCCTATGCACTTCTTCAACATGGAGATGTGAAATACCAGATGAACCATTGCTAATTCCTGTGGTAGCT